CCCCAAAACCCCAAAACCCCAAAACCCCAAAACCCCAAAAGGATAAAAAAATTGAAGATATTATTGATCATTTCTATAAACCTTCCTGGGAATTTTAACCATCTTCATGAGGTCCTTAAGATTAATGAACGGAGGAATACGAGACTTTATTTTTGTCTCGTTCTTTCTAGCACTACCATGGCTATTATGTCGTTTTCTTCAGGGATCCTTAGCTCCTAAATTATCACCTACAAAGATTACTAGAGCGATTGGGCTTATTAAAGATTTTGTTAATAACTTGTTTCCTATGAACCCTTTTCTCACTATCTTTCATCATACGTTTGTAGAAGCTATCACTCTGAGAGTCCTTGCTTCATTTTCTCTGATGAGCATAATATTTTCCCTTAATAAAAGGATCTTTAAAAGGAATTTGTAATTTACTTCAGTAGTCTGAATAGACCTTCAAATTTCATGAATCTTTTGCTACAGGAGGATCAGAGGAAGACCTAGATAATAGCTGAGCAGAGTTCTTAGTACCCATCTCTTTTGACTTAGAAAGCAAGAGGAATTTCTTCATTAAAGTAGGTGCCTTATCTCTTTTCGAGAAAGTCTTATTAATCCCGTATTGGTCTTCTTCAATGAGGTCAAAATTCTGATCTATTGGCATTACATCTCTCATGCTGAAGCTAAGTGATAAATTTACCTAAGATCGAATGTTATCGGCTGATTACTTTGGGTAACATCATAGCTTTGGTCTACATCCTTGGAGGAGGTAGAATCCTTCAGGTTGCAGGTAATTTTGCAAAAGACCTTCTTATGTCTAAAAATTAAAATACATTTCTTACAGGTTTTTATTTGCACTAATCACTTCATTTGGTACCTGAGAGTGTCTATTTTCTTGAGGATTTCCTTCATCAATGCTTAATGAAGAGAATGACCTCTTTGTTGGCTAAAGCTATTAAATGAAGAATACTTGGGCAGGAGTGATCATCCTCAAATTCATTTTCCTCTGGGATGATATAGACTCTCTTCTTTGATGAACTTGTAACGTCGGCAAAGTTTCAAAACTTCTTTGATGTGACTGAATATCACGATTTGGGATTTTATTATTTGAATGGATTATAAAGCCGATTTTCAAGCAAACTGAAATCAGGCCCGAAGTTGTTCCTGAAATGCTTCTTGCTTGAAGTTCGCCAATCAATGGAGTTCATGATCTTGTTTTGCACCCAACTTCGCTTAGACGGAGACATAGAGTCACGATATTCCTGAATTTCTTGATCTTCGTTTCGATAGTCAAAAGTATTCATGTCTATAAATTTAATGATTTATTACTTTATTTTATTGTAGATCCATTTTTAGAGGGGTTTTGGGGTTTTGGGGTTTTGGGGTTTTGGGG